GTCATGCAAAAGGTGCGCTCGACATGGGCCTACGGGACCTCTCGCGCCGCGTGTGTGGTCGCGTGCACCCTCTCACACGTCTCATTCATGTGTGTGCTACGCAACCCTTGGTGCCCGCCTGTAGGACTACATTCTGCCGCACCTCACCGTTCGCGAAACCCTCACCTACGCCGGTCTCCTCTCCCTTCCCACCAGCATGCCGAAGCTGAAGAAGCTCGAGCTCGTGCGCCACCTCCTCGGCCTCTTATTTATTTATTTCTTTATGTGCCTAATACAAATTCTTTTTCGTTTTTATTCATTATTTATTTATTTATTTATAATGCTAAATGGCAATTGCCTGCGGATGGCTTACTTCATCGCGCAGGTGGAAAATGTCATCTTGGAGCTGGGCCTGAAGGACTGTGCCAACACGAAGATCGGAGGCGAGAACTCGCACGGCATCAGCGGTGGCGAACGCCGCCGCGTGTCCATTGCGCTGCAGCTCCTCACCGACCCCAGTACGCATGCGTTGCCCCCTCCCCACCTCTTAATGGGTTCACGTTCGTCAACTCGGTTGTCGCTCACGTTCTTCTGTGGACCACCCTCCCGCTCTGTAGGCGTGCTGCTTTTGGACGAGCCCACGTCGGGCCTGGACAGCTTCACGGCCAACAAACTGATGAACACCCTGCTCGACATTGCCCACCAGGTGCCTGCTCGCTCGCTCTCACTAAATTGTCGCTTCACTGCCGCCGCTACCAACACGCTTTCTGCGACACGCGCTATCGCACACGACACACGACACACACGATAAACTCTCCAGGGCCGAACCGTCATCTGCACCATCCACCAGCCTCGCTCCGAGATGATGTCGACGTTCGACCTGGTCTTGCTCCTCTCCAAAGGCGAGGTGGTCTATTTTGGCGAGGCGAGGGACATTCTGGCGTACTTTGACGAGCTGGGCTACGTCTGCCCGAGCCACGTCAATCCCGCCGACTACTTCCGTACGCGAAGCCACATCACTGTCTCGCTCACCTCCGCTCATCCATCTTGTCCCCTCCCCCGCCCGCACACAGTGGATTTGATGACGGTCGACCCGCGCAGCGAAGAAGCGGAGAAAGAGTCCAAGGACCGCCTGGAGACGCTGACCCAGGCATGGACCAACTCGGAAGACCTTACCAACACACTCAAACAGGTAACAGAGCCGCCGCCACCACACAATTTTCCCGTGATCTGTGATTAATTTATTAATTTGCTTCGTTCTTCGTTTTTCGTGCTTCGTGCTTCGTTCTTCAACGCCACAGGTGCAGGAGGAGAAGGAAGCGCGGGCGCTCAACCTCAACGCCGAGAAGGAGGAGAAGATGTATTCCCTGCGGTCGGCGCTGCCCGCCTACAAGGCCTATCCGATCCTCGTTCGGCGAGCCTACAGGAACCTTCTTCGCGACCCGCAGGCTGCGCTCACCCGATTCACCCAGGTACCTGCGCGTGCGCGTGCGCGTGTGCGTGTGCGTGTGCCGCTAACATGGCTTGGGCGCTGGTGGCGTGTGCTGCAACAGGTGATGGCTTTTGCGGTGATCATGACCATCTGCTTCCTGCGTATCGACAACGACCAAACCGGAGTACAGAACAAGCTCGGCTTCCTGTACGAGGTCCTCTCGCTTCTGTTCGTCGGTCAGCTCAACGCCATCGCCATGTGTACGTCGTCACCTCGTCGCTCGATTGCCCGAAGGGGCGCTGCCTCGCACTCACCGCGGCCGTCTTGACTAACCAACGCGTGCAGTCCCGGGAGAGCGCAATGTGTTTTACCGAGAACGCATCGACGGGCTCTACGGCACAACAACGTTCATGCTCTCCTACATGTCCATTGAGATCCCGCTCGACGTACGCCCCGACGTTGTCTTTGTGTGTTGGCTGTTCGATGCGGTGCTGGGGGTTGACGTTGATTGCTTTCGGCCGCGAACGCGCAGCTCATCTCCGTAGCTGGCTGCTCGTGCCTCACCTACTTCGTGATCGGGCTAAGCTTGGAAGACGCGTACGCCCACACCCACGCCCACATCCACTTTGTGATGAAGGGATAGGCTCACTCTTTGTGTGTCGTGAACAACTGCACAGTTGGCGATTCTTCGTGTTCTACGGCGTGGCTCTGGCGTTCCTGTTTACGGGTGAGACCGTGGGCCTCTTCCTGTGTTCGCTCTTCTATGACGTGGGCATTGCCAACATGCTTTCAGCGGTACGCTCACGCACCACCGCACACGCACATGCTACCGAGCGCCGCTCAAGCACATACTGATTACTGATCTCGCCGCACACGTGCCTTTAGGTCATGTTCTCGCTCTTCCTGCTGATGAGCGGGTACTTCCGCGGGGCGAGCTCACTTCCGTACCCTCTGCGTTACGCCAACTACGGTCTCATCACCTACTACGGCGCCGAGGTGCTGGCTGTCAACGAGTTCCACGAGCTCGATCTTGACTGCGAGCCCAGCCAGGCTGTCAACGGTACGACGAACCGCACACGCACACACGGTGGTCACCGTTCATTAACCGCGCACGTACCACCACAACAGGGACCTGTACCTATGCCAACGGTGATGCTGTGATTGACAGCCTTAACTTTGATGTGGATCGCTTGTGGCCCTACTTTGGGGTG